AATTTACTGAGCACCTTATAGCTTTTTAGGATATATGCATCATTCCTGGTTGATAACATGACATGCCTGATAGCAATAGGACTTTGGGCCTTTGCAGACTGATAGAAATAGTGCAAATTGAGTCCACTTTAACTGTCCTGGCTCAGTGCTAGGGAATCATGGGAACTGTATTTTTTTCTGAGACATTGAACCTTCTCTGTCAGAGAGCTCTGGTGCCACAATAAAGTACAGTTCCCATGATTCCCTAGCACTGAGTCAGGACAGTTAAAGTGGACTCAATTTGCACTATTTCTGGCAGTCTGCAAAGGCCCATTGTCCTTGGAATAGTTTCCAATGCAGCCTCTTAGACTCACAGAACAGATCAGGATAATAAATAGGCGTCATGAGCAAACTGCAATATATATATATATATTGTTTACACATATTAAAGAAAAAAATAAGTGTGTAATCTGGGTGAGATCCATTCCTTCAAAAAGTTATTGTAGCTAAATTGTACTTAGGACATGGGTTGGCAACTGTGCCCGGGGCTGCTTTTCTCACAGATTTCTCACCACATCTGTGGTGGGCCACTACCAAAATGAAACCAGCAGTGAAATCACATCACTTCCAGTTTTGCTTTCTACCAGTTTTTCCAGCTTTCTATATATTTTGGGAATCAGCAGAGTGATGGGAACAAAACTGCACTGTTTTGCAATGCCTTTGAATTGTTTGGCAGTATTTTGGGGTAAAAAAAAATCACTTGAAAATGAAAAAAGATATTTGGAGAACTAAGGGGTGTCCTGAGAGCCAGTGTGGTATAGTGGTTTGAGTTTTGGACTATGACTCTGAAGACCAGGGTTCAAACCCCTGCTTGGCAATGGAAAACCAGTGGATTACCTTGGGTTGGTCATAATCTCTCAAGTTTAGAGGAAGGCAAAGGCAAAGCCCCTTGGACAAATAAAAAAAAAACTGTGATAGGGTTGCCATAAGTCAATGAAGACTTGGAGGCACATAACAACAATAATAAAGGATAATTTGAGAGTAGTACAAACTCTCAAATTATAGATGTCCAGAGACTAGGAGATGGAGTAATGGATGCAAATTACAAGAAAAGAGATTCCATCTCAACGTTAGGAAGAACATCCCAATACTAAGAGTTGTTTGACAGTGGAACACACTCCCTTGGATAGTGGTGGGGTCTCCTTCTTTTTTGGAGGTCTTTAAACAGAGGCTGGATGGCCATCTGTCACAAGGTGTGCTTTGATTGTGAGTTCCTGTATGGCAGGAGGGTTGGATTGGATGACACTTGTCTCTTCCAACTCTATGATTCTATGGATGTCTTGGGGAGGCTTCAGGGGCCTCAAAAAAGGAGTTGGGAGCTGAATGTAACCCTGGACTATAATGCTCCACAATATTTTGCCTAGTAAAAAAGCTAAAACTCTCCCTTCTGTACTACTCTCAAATCTCTCGGGTTCTGAATCTAGGACATCTAGCTAGGCTGATCACATGTATCAACCAAGAAAGATGACAAATAATGGTGCAAATTTGCTTTTGTTAATTGATATGTTATACCAACTGTAGAATTACTGTACTTTAAAAATTACTACTTTATTACTACTACAGTTATAGTGCATCTCACTAAATGTATTTATTTGTTTATTGAATTTATGCCCTTTTGCAAAAAAAAAAAAGTTAAAAAGTGGTTAACAATAAAATATAGAGTAGATACCATGGTGGGAGAAGATGGTGCCCTGTGTGTGCTGAGTAGCTCAGAACCTGTATCAGAGCAAAACTCTGCCTGCACAGTTCTTGTCCTTTACCCTCCCATGCTTACATGGCAAGATCGAGGAGAAGCTGCTGCTTACTGGTGGGGAAGGCAAGTCAGACCATGAAGCAGTGGTTGGACTCAGTTCATTGGAGAAAGAAAAAGAATTGAGAATCCCCCTTTTCTACTCTCTGGAGCTTAGAACAGCTGTGTCATCACGATCTGAATTGCCTCCCACTCCCCTTCTCACTGGTAAGAAGCAGTAGCAGTCCCTCACAAATCCACCTCATAGTAGCATTGTCTATCCCACATTTTACGAGCCTGTTTACAAGAATACCGTGGAAGACCTTGTCCAAAGCCTTACTGAAATCAAGATATGCTACGTCCATAGAATTCCCTTCATCTACCAAGCTTGTAACTCTATCAAAAATCAGATTAGCCTGGCATGATTTGTTTTTGAGAAACCCATGTTGACTTTTAGTGATCACCGCATTTCTTTCTAAGTGCTTACAGACTGTTTAATGATCTACTCTCAAATTAGTTCTGTCATTTTTATTTCCCTTTCTCAATTGTGGAATAGGGTGAGCACATTCAGTGGAAGAAAAATGTATGTGTGTGTCTCTCTATCTTTAGCTACATGTGCATATACACATAGCTACTCCTCTAGTAGGAATTTCAGCAGTTTCAGCCTTTCTTATCTCTGCATGGTAGACTTTCACCTGTCTTCATATTCACTCTGTCTCTCAGGTAAAGGTATAGTAGTCCTCAGCTCTCTTGCCTCTAGTCTCTCCCTTTTTTTACCCAGAGATGCCTTAACTTGTATTGTTAAAAAAAAGTCTCCTATGTTGAAAACCTCTATGCAAGAGGTACCCAGGAAAAGAAAGAAGACATTGAATGCTAAGTTCAGCTCAGAAGTCTGCAAAGGTGATAATATGTGGTGCTGGTTAACCAGAGGAATGCTTCGGTGGAATTGAATTGAGTATCCCCAGATGGCCAAGAGGGAGCTTTTGCTGTAGCAATACAGCAGCACATTTTCCATGACATATGGCTGGCTTTCTGTCAGGTGGGAAATGCATTAGCACTAGGACATTTCAGGAAATGTCCCTGGCCCTAGCCTGCCATTCTTAAGCAATAGGAGCCATCGACTTATGGTTTTCTCTGCTGTGATTTAATCTTTACAGGATTTTGGTGTGCTAGCCATCAAGATAAGTATGTCTGATAATAGGGGTCCAAGCAATTGCAGTGAAGCTAATTGGCTGTGGCTGAGCAGCTTTTCCTCATGTAGGATTGGTTTATTGTGCATCTGGATCCAACCCCTACATAGTTTTCAACTTGTTACCTGTACTTGGAGATAAGAAGTAAGTAAAAAGAGGCAAGAGAATATATATATATATTCTCAGGTTAAGCATACTTTTTTCCAAGGCCACATACTTAATAAGATAAAAATGCTAAGAGAACTGTGCTAAAATCATGTTACATTTGCTATTCTGCCCACTCCCTTGCACAGTCACTCACATTGAGTGCAGTTAGAATTGCAAGGAAAACATTTTGTCTTTTTGTTTTTCAGAACAACTTTCTTTTGCCCTTGTTCCAGTTACTACTGACAGAACATAACATCAGACAGTCCAATCAAGACTGTAAACAGAGGAAATCCTATCTTGATCCCCAGAGATCAGGAGTAAGGGGCTTTTTTTACGTCACATGAAAAGTTCTGGCTGGAGCACAGAGAAATCCATTGCTTTTGCCATCCCCTCAGACCATCAGTAGGTTTGTTTGCACAACTGAGAGTGGTTCAGAGTCCTGATTGAAAATAAGAGACTGGGGAAAGGGAAGCATAAAAGGAGTGGGTCAAGAGCTTTGTATAGCAGGCTACAAGTGTGTTTCTCTAGGACTCAGTGCCAGTAATAATAATCATGGGGGGCCAGGGGCTAACAATGCCCTGGCAATGTGGTTTCTCATCAGAAGCCCTGGACTTGGGCTTTTTGAAGAAAGAAGAGCGAGCAATGGCTACAGCAGCATCACATGACTAAATCTTTGTTGGCAATTAGATGTTGTTGCTATAATGTGTCTGTTCGCTGCTGCAGTAGTCCAGTGAACAAAGGACAGGAAGGAAAACAAAACAAAATATAATGCCATTAGTTAGCAGCTAATATATTCCATGGAAACAAGCCTTCTCCTGAAACTCCTCTTCCTGTTTGCATATGCATTTAATTAGGAATAGCCCTCCTGTGCTACAAAAGTAACACAAAGATTGGCAAGAATCTATCCTTCCAAGCAGAGAAGGTAGGAAGACCAATAAGAGAGCTAAAGTAGACCATATACTCCAGGGGTAGGCAACCTTTTTGAGCTTGGGGCCAGTCCCGCAAAGTCCCTCCTGCTGCTGGGCCAAGGGGGGGGGGAAATGGCAACGCGTACGCAGCCCCCCCACGTGCGCTGCCGCCACCGCTGCTGCGCAGCCACTGCCATTTTGATTTTCAAAATGGCGGCCGCGACACGTTTGCGCATGCACAGGAGTACTGCGCATGCGCAAACACGTCATGACCGTCATTTTGATTAACAAAATGGCGGTTGCGGTGCGCACGGCCGCACGGCGACAAAAATGTGCAGCAGCGGCGGTGGCGGCAACCTTCCGCCTGGGCCGGTAAGTCCAGGGACCTGGGCCTTAACTGACCCTCAGGCCGTAGGTTGCCGGTCCCTGATATACTCCTTCTAGCTCTCTTGAACAGAACTGTAGTGTAAATCTTTCTGAGGAAACTGCAGCAGAGCACAAAACCAACATGGAAATGGCTTAGCGCAATGTATGGTCTCAGGTATGCTAAGGTACATCTAGAACAAGTTGTAACAATTGCAGGAGGGGTTGCCATTCAGTTATTCCTATGAGCACACCAAACTCCTGTATCATTAGCTTGTAGTCTAAATGGTCAATGTTTCTATGATGGGAGCTATTGGGACCATGTGGGCTGCCAAACCCAGTAGTTAAATCAGTAGCCAAAATGTATTCCAAAATCATTCTGTTTGTTTGAACTTCTTCTTCTTCTTCTTCTTTCGCAATTTCAGATCTTCCTTTTATGCACTCCACCCTCATCATCCTTACTCTTTGCATTGTAGTTAAGCTCAGGAATGCAGTTTTATTTGCCTGATTAGCATTGCCTGTCATTTGGAGTAAGATTTTATTTTATAATTGGTAACTTGAAATGGTGCTGGAGATGAGCCGATTGTCTTCTCTGTGGATTACTAGCTTGGACCAGTAGCTAAAAGTGTTTTGAGCAGAACTTGGAAAAGTTACTTTCTTGGACCCACAACTCTTGAAATTCCCCAGCCAGCATGACCATGGGGGAGCTGGGAATTGATCCAATAAAATGGTGTTTCAAAGCTGGCTAGAGGGGAGGGAATTGAGCAGTTGTAGTCTAACAACAACAGTTTTTCCAAATTATGTTTGTCTTTTCTGAAACTGTTTATTTCATTGTCATGGAGATGGGTTCCCCAGGATGAAATGAGTCTTGGGAATTTGTTCTTGATTTGCATACAGTAGCCTATAATCCAGATGCAAATAACCACTAGTGCAGTAAGGGCAGGTTGGATGAGGTTCTCTGCACCTGTCATTGTGTCTATGTGCCTTCAGGTCACCTGTCAACTCATGATGACCCCATGATTTTAATAGGATTTTGTTAGGCAAGGAATACTCAGGGATGGTTTTACCAGTTCCTTCCTCTGAAATATAGGCTGCAGCACCTGGGATTTGTTGGTGGTCTTCCATCCAAGGACTGATTTGGGGTGACCTTGCTTAGCTTCCAAGATCAGACCGGATCTGGTGCCTTTAGGGTATTTAGGCCCTTCGTACCTGTCTTTAAAAGTACCACAAGACCCAATTAGGCTGTGTCAGACTGTGAAACATACTGAGGAAAGCAGATGGCTGCTTCTGTACTTCACTGTAGCAGTAAAGAGAAGTTTACTAATAAGAGGCAGCTGTCAATGCATGACATTGGGGCCATGGATGTGACATGGACACTCAAGGATTCGTGGATAAAGGTGGTTGTTATACACAGCTTTTTAAAACTTGGTCCTTGTGTCTATGAGTGACTGCTTGGCATTCACTTTTCAGCTGTCAGTTT